CCTGTTCAAACTCTTGTGACACTAGCATATATCTCTTTAAGAATAAAGGAAGTAGCGTTTCCCAAACAGAATATGCTAAATTAATCGAAATTTTAATGTTCTTAAAGAACTATACTTGGCCTGATATTGCTTATGCTGTGAGTAGACTAAGTAGATATACTCATAATCCGAGTGGTGAACACTGGATTGCTCTTAGACGCTTACTGAAGTATCTTAAGTGTACTTTGGATTGGAAATTTGAGTTTGTTGGCTATCCTGCGGTACTGAAAGGATATTGTGATGCCAACTGGGTTTCTGATAATGATGAGGTAAGCTCTACGAGTGGGTATGTTTTTACTTTGGGTAGAGCAACAATCTCGTGGAAATCATCAAAGCAGACTTGTATTGCTCGTTTTACCATGGAGTCAGAGTTTATAGCTCTTGACCTAGCTGGGCAAGAAGCCGAGTGGCTTAGAAGCTTGTTAGCAAATATTCCGTTGTGGGGAAGACCGACTCCTCTAGTTTCATTGTTGTGTGATTCAAAAGCTGCGATATGTGTGGTTCAGAACCAAGCTTACAATGGTAAGAAAAGACACATTTGGATAAGACATGAATCAGTTAGACACTTAATAAAGAATGGAGTGCTCTCTTTAGAGTATGTAAAGTCGGAAAGGAACCTAGCAAATCCACTTACCAAAGGGTTAAGTCAGAAGTTGGTCCTAGATTCGTCGAGGGGGATAGGTATAAAGCCCATTGGTTGAGGAATTCATGGTGGATACCCAACTTAGTTATCTAAGTTCCATGTGGTCAAACGAAACCATGGAAAGACTCATAGTGTACATTCCTACTTCCTATCCCTATGACGAATAATGTGCATGCCCAGGATGAGCTTAAGTGCTCTTAATAAATTCATAACCCAGGCTTTGGGTGGTCTTAGTGAGAAAGACTTGATGAATTTATCGATTTTGGCTGAATATCTATTCTTAATAAGTTCATAACCCAATTTGAGTGGGTATTCCTAAGTGAGAAGGAAATAATGAACTTACGAACAGAAATGTTGAGTTTGTTAAACTCTTAATAAATTCAAATCCAAGTATTTGGATAGTTCTAGTGAGAAGGACTTATTGAATTTACCGATAAATGAGGTTGAATATTTATTCTTAATGGCTTCTTAGCCCAGAGTTTGGGTGGTTCATTTATAATGAACTTGAAGAAAGTCACCATACTCTTTATGAGGTTGAGCTTTTATAAAAGCTCTTAATTATTGCATATCTCTGTTAAGGGTGGTTCATTTATAATGAACTTGAAGAAAGTCATCATACTCTTTGTGAGGTTGAGCTTTTATAAAAGCTCTTAATTATTGCATATCCCTGTTAAGGGTGGTTTATATCGAGATAAACTTGATGAAATAACCTATGTAAGTGAGAAGGGTTAGCCGTCTTCTATGAAAAATGTTGGGCCATTTTTCTAGCACATTTTCTAAAATCCTGAGGTAAGATGGCCAAATATATACTTTTATATATATATATATCTTACACATCGAGGACTCAGGTGGATGAAGGGGTTAGTTGTGTGTTATGAGTTTACCCCCATCATAGAAAGTTCCAGACTAGTTTCACTTATCTAAGAGAATGATTGCTCATCATCACTATGTACTAGTTCCAGATACGTTCACTAGTGCTTAAGCAACTAATCTCGTTATTGCTCTTCTAGAAAGATTGTTTTCGAGTTTCAGAAGAATTCTTTCGCATTAGTGGGGAAATGTTGATAATGCTCAATCCCACATAGAGTTGGAAATACTAATGGGAATGGTATTTAAGGTTTACATTCTTCATTCTCTTGTTGAGTGATAGAGAACAAGGCGTGGTAATACGTGTCTTTGACACGTCCACAAGAATAATAATATATTTTTAGAGAAAATTCGTAAGGAATTTTTCTCTGAAAGATTAAATGAAAAAATATGAAAGATTCATCTGATATTTATAGGCTACTGAGAATTTTAAAGTTATTTTCCTAAATTAAATCAGAACTTAAGATGTATTTGGACTGATTTCCAGCTTTGTTCATAGGAGAGACAAGCTGTTAATATCATGAGTTATATGATTTAATTTCAGGAGTTATAATTGTTGAGTTTTTATGCAATGAACCTGGACTCTTTTTGAGATGGATTCATAAAGATATTTTAGGAGTTACAAAAGGGTTTAAATTCAGAATTAAAATCAAATTTAATTTGATTTTATTGTTGGACGAATTTACCCTTACTTCTAGCCTATAAATAGAGAGCTAAATTCAGCTTCTCAACTCACTCTCAACATTCAGAATTCACTCTCCAAGTGTTTTTTAAATAATCTCTCTGCGTGCTTTCCGATAAGAAGAGTAATACCACCGACAATTCACTTCGATTTCGGGTGTACGGAATTCGGAGCGACCGTGTTAACCTTGAGGGACGGTCCGCCTACTGCAGCGATTACACACACATCGGGGCGAATTCGTTTCTAAGGCAGTGATTATACCACGACACGGTTTATGAATCTGTTCCTTTTAATTACTGTTTATATTTCCAGTCATTGCTAACGGTGTAGTTTTGCAGTCTATTTTACCAACAGTCACATCTCTCTACTTAATGCCTACTGGCTCATATCATAGGAGAGTGGGAAGTGCTCTTGCTAAATTGTTGTTTATGGTTGCCTATCGCAATTGTGGATTTTACGAACTCGATAACGTGATTTCTTTTTCTTTTTTTAAAGTAATTATGTTTTTGTATTGTGAATGCTGTTATGGTATTATAATGATCTTGAAAAACGTTACGATAGAACAGTCATATTAAGTTGTAGCCGTAATTTAATATTATTTTTGGTGCTCTCAAAATTTTTAATTTAATATTATTTTATGTCTATAATTTTAAGTAAAATTAGACTTCTATCACTTCTAATTTTCTAGGTTAAATAAGTCTATATTATTTAAGTTTAGATCATTTGCATCTTCTGATATTTAATCATCCTCAACTAAATTTTAAAATCACATTTATCCCTTAATAAATTTATATTTTTCTACTGGCCCCTCAACCACAAAAAACGGGGCAGAAAAAAAAAGTTTTGGTTCAAACTGTGTAGAAAAATTCAAACAAAACAATATAGAAAAAAATACAGCTCATATTCGAATGAGCAGAAAAAATAGTGCAAAAAATGTGAAACTGTTCGAACAGTAAAAAAATAGCAGTACAATTTTGGTTCGAACAATGAGAGAAAAAAAAAGAAAAAAAGAGAAAATGATAAAGCTTGATTGAGTTCTTTTCTTGAAGCTACTTCCTTTTAAATATCAGAATAATCTATTCTTTTCTTGATTTTTATTTTGCAAAAAAAAAAAAAATTAATATACCTTCTAGTGGCTTCTCGATTGGACATTCTGTTCTACAAAAAGTTCATCACAACAAACAAAGTCGTTACTAGATCGGGGAGTATTCATTTTCCTTCTCTTTAAATTTAATTTTGAATTACGTTTTGAAACAAAATGGTTTAAGTGAGGGGAGGGATTGCATGTTAAATTTCACCTCGCTTGTCGAATAATTGAACTTAAGATATTTTGATCTTAACATGTTGAATTGTTTGTTATCTATTCTTGTATTTATTTAATTACTTTAATCTTTTTCGTTGAGTGTTTAATCATTCTTTGAGTTGAACTTTGGATGCATGATAGTTAATTAGCATAGCTAGTGATTTTTTATGAAATTTTTGACATTCTATGGTTTATTGGTTGAATTGATGCTAGACTTCATACATTGAGCCAATTTTGTGATCTTTGAGCCTATTTAGCATACATGTTTCATTCTTGCTCTTTGTTTATTTGTGTGTACCAAACTCGTTTTTAGCATTCTAAAATTTGTGGTGTAATACTAGTTGAGACTACATGCATGAATTTGATGTTTTTAGTATGATAAAGGCACTTCGGATTAACCCTTTCACTACCCAAAAATAGCCTACCCTTTGGTTTATTTTCCCCCATAGTGAACCAATTTTGAGCTTTATGTCATTTTCTTTGTTTTACCACATTATTAACTCGAACCATTTTTCATTTTACTCTCTTTTTTACCCTTTTTCAAGACGAAGATGGATTTGTTTCACGAAAAAAAAACAGTGAAGTTCCCCAAAAAAAAAATGGACTGTTCGAACATAGAAAAACAGCACAGTTTGATCCAAACAGTGCAGGAAAATGGAGCAGAAAATTTAAAATTATTCGAATAGTGCAGAAGAATACAATGCAGTGTAGAAAATTTCCAATATTGCAGAAACAGATTCAAACAATGCAGAAAAAACAGTAGAAAAATCTGTTCTGCTTCGAACAAAAATACAGTAGAAAAAAACAACAAAAAGTTTGAAGAAAAAAAGAGTTTGTTTGATTTTTGTTTCTTTCTTCCTTTAGTTTCCTTTGAATAAATCCATGGAATGAGTTCATTTTGTCTTTAATTTTTGCCTGATCTTTGGTTTTTTCCCTTTCCATACCTTTGTCACGTTACATCCCGATTTGAAGTCCTCTTGACTTTTTGCATCATATTCATTTTTAAGTAATGGAGATTGTATTCAATTATAAGCTTATGATAATGCTTTGACTTGTTTTGGCTTGAGCTTTTATTTGTTCTTAAACACTTGAAGGGAATGAGTAAATCCTTTGTGAGGGTATTGAGTCTTGCATTATGAGATTAGTGAGCTATCAGAATGTCTTGTTTTGATTTAACTTATTTTCTAGCTTTGTCACTTGCTTGATTGATTTCTAGTTTCAATTAATTGCTTTGATTTTGATTCATTGTAAGATTAAAGTATGATGTGAATTATAGAATGACAACTTATAGTTTTGGCGTGTTGAATGAGAAATGCTTGAGGACAAACATTGAACAAGTGAGGGGGAATTTGATTAGTATTTTTTTTTTACAATATTTTATGATTAAATACTCCTAGTTCGTTCATTATTATTATTTATTTGGGCGTTTTTACATGATTTCTGTGCATGTCAATGACTTATGGAAAATGTGCTTAAAAGACCTGAAAATTGCACTTTTTGTTCATGAATCAAGGCTGAAACAGTAAGCATGAAATGCTGACATGGTAGTGAGTTAGCAACCTCGACATTTATAGCTTCCTAAAACCCTAAAAATGCTAAAACAATCTTCAAAAAATACAAAAGATAATTATTTAAATCTAATCGGTTGGAGCAGACCACCCGAGGGGTGGATCAAAGCTAATGTTGATGCTGTGGTCAATACCAGTGATGGTTTGGCTGCTGTTTGTGGAGTTTTACGCAATGAGGATGGAGAGTGGATTTTCGACTTTACCCGGAGTTTAGGTAGGTGCTCGGTGTTAATGGATGAAATATGGGTTGTCCGTGATACCCTTTGGGATGCTTGGAGACTTGGTTTCCGAAGGGTGGAAGTCGAAACGGACAATGTCGAGGTTTCTTGTATTTTCAATGGTAGTTCAGATGCTCTTGAGGGGAATGCACTTGTGCATGATCTGAAGGATCTTCGCAATCGGAATTGGATTACGAGGATGACTTTCGTGAGGAGAGTGCAGAACGGGGTTGCGGATCGGTTGGCAAGGATGAGTCGCAGGGTTGCCCTCGGGCTCCAGGAATTCATGGTGGCGTCGGTGGAAGTCGAAGCTTTGCTGCAGAAGGATCTCAGTGTTGCAAGCTAGCTGTTTGCTTGTTTGGTTGTCATATCAAAAAAAAAATCACTCATTACCCGCATTATTACCATTTTCTAACAAAGCTTCGAAATAGTTCCATCATCTACATTTACATTCATCACCCATTTTACATTCTTTCCATTAAAATATTGCAATATCAAAAGTAAAACAAAATTACTACAAAATTGTGTTGAACAACATATTTAATCAACCACATATAGTTACCAAATTATCAGCACCATTGATTTCCAACAGTAAATTTTTTTTGCAAGTTGCAAGCAAATCAAATCTTTAAGACAGGAATTCATTTAAGCCAATTATATGTATTTTGAACACATTTTACTTTGATTTCCTTGTGGACTTGGATTTCTTCATCTTGCCAGACTTATCATCCACATTGGTCCAACTATATCCACTAGGAATAGCAAAAGGATCCTCTTGTTGCACTGTCCGCTGCTGCTGTTGCTGCTTGCTACTCGATGCTGACTGACTATTGTTTCGCCTCAGCCCTGCCGTCGTCGATGACGACCACGACAAAGACGGCAACAGTGAAGTATGTTTATCTGACTTCTGATCCTCCTCTGTTTGGCCTCTTCCAACTCCGCCGATGGAAAAATATCTAGGACTCGAGAGTGGGGTGAAGAACTGCTCCGTTGATTGGAGTTCGACGAATTTAGTAAACGTTATCACCACCCTCACCGTCGGCACGACCGGAATAGCCAACTGCGAATAATCCCACCAAACGAACAATTAAAAAGACCATCCTTGGTCTGAAAATCACAAATCAAACAATTAAACCTCTTCGACTTCACGTCCTCCTATATAATATAGCGACAAATAATACTAAGCATTGGTCCCACATTAGGCATATTTATATATGAAACAGAAACCTCGGATGATGTGAGGGAATCACCGTTGGATCTGAAAACAGGGCCGTTTGGATAAGTCCACGTCAGGGAATCCGACAAAAGGGACAAGAGTTTACCCCATAAAAAAAGCTACTCCACTAATCAGAGATCAATTCAAAGCTGTGTAAAACTCAGAACACACCACTTCCTTTCCATTTTGTCATTGGTCAGGCCATCCTACGCATTAAAAGACCCAAAAGAAACACCCTCCCAAGGAGACAGATATCTACGCGGACCCCACAACCAAAGCAGTTATACATAAAATTGGTCAAATTTTCATATTGGTCCCTCTTATATGTTCAAAATAACAATTTCGGTCAAAATCGTAACATGTTAAAGCAACACCAAATTATGTCATACTAAATATAGGGACTAAGGGATAAATTAACAAATCGCCGTCTTACCTTAACCGGAAATGTTCCCGGCGGGAATTTGGTAGTCAACAGCTCTCGCATTCTTCTAACAGCTTTCACTTTGTTAGCCAAAATATCAAGTAAGGGTAACAAGTCTTCTGTTTTTAATGGAAATTGTTCAGTCAACCAAACAGAGGGCCGCAAACTCCGAACGTACTCTTTTTCCTTCGTTTGAGGAGGCGGAATCACCATTTTCACCGGGGCGAAAGACGTCGATCTTCTAGGAGGAACCGCCGCAGCGGAAGGGAAAACGTCGACACTCTTCCTCCCAACCGAAATCCACTCTCTATCTTCTCTCACAAAGCTACTATGCCTTCTCCGATCAGGCATTACGAAATTCGGGTTTTCGCATACCAAGAAACCGTCATCGTCTTCGTCGAGCTCTAAGGGTAACACTTGTTCATTTCCAGCGACGTCGTTTTCGGAGCCCACTACTTTTCGAGACCGGAAGCTGAAAATCACGTTATGTAGTTCGTAAACTTTGGCTTTCCATTCACCGACGCTCTCTGTCTTCTCTTGGCGTCTCCAGTTCATTCTGCCGACGAGTTCCGCTTTGGTTACGTCCATTCCGGGTCGGTACACACTTGTTTGGGAACAAAAACCGGCAACATCGGATTCGTTCATCGGAGCCCCGGCATTTTCAAATGCGTCGAAGATTTTGTGATCGTCCCGGTTGAGGACTAGCAATGAACCGCAAGGGATGTTGTGGAGGCTATCGCCGTCGCCGAGGAAGAGAAAGCTTTGATCGGCGCGTTGGATTTTTAAGCCGTCGAAGCCAGCTAATGAAGTATCTGCTCGAAGGTTTCCATCGCGTTTCCAGATCTTGTAGGTATCGGAAGGAGCAATTTTTCCAACGAACGGAATTACAGAGCTTTCGAAGTGGAAAGAGATTTCCATGTAGAAGTCCCGCATTCGGCGGAGGACGGCGATTACGCGAGGTAAACGGCGGCGCCACTTAGACCAAGCGGAACGGTGGTGGAGTTTCAATAGAACCAACGCAATATCTGAGTTCCGGCGACAGAGCGCTTCCTGGAGAGGATTCCAACCCGCCGCGTTCTGGAGAGACACGTCAGCACCAGCAATAACGAGTGTTTTGGCAGCAACGACGTCGTTTAAGCGGACAGCTAGGTGGAGAGGAGTTTCACGGAAAGGGACATCCCGGCGGTCGAGAACGGCGGAGATTTTCTCAGCTAATCGCTCTTGACTCAGTGCGTCGCACTCCGTGTGGATCTGAGCAGGATCAGCTAGCTTTGGCAGAGTGGAAACTAATCGAGTCAAAGTGGTGTGATCGCGCAGAACGACGGCGTAGTGAACAGGGCTATGCTTGTATTCCTCCTGTTTGATAGGTGAAAATGGCGCCGTTGCCATCGTCGACGATGGTCTCGACATATTTTTTTCAATCGAAAATTCTCTCGTTTTATTTTTCTTCAGCTCTTCGTTTGGATTGCGAAGGTGAAAATTGGGAAAATCAAATGGGACTGTATGTACGAATAACAGAAGAAGGGGGGACTACGGAAAAGGGAGAGGGGTACTTGGGTAATTTCATGAATAAATGTATTTGGTGCTAGGGCCTACGGCTGTTTATTAGATCAATTGGAGTTAAATAAAAAAATTTGAATTAATAGAATTAATTCTTTCTATTTTATAACTTAAACTTTGTTTAAATTAATTTTGAATCCAAGTCAATTTATTAAATTTGAGTTAGTTGAATTGTAAAATATCTGTATAAATTTAATTATAAATATTTATTATGTTATAATATTAATTGATTCTAATTTAAATAATTTTCAATAATAACCTATGAGTATTGGTACAAGTAGTTGAGATTCAATAATTTGAGTTTGTAAGATCGAATTTGAATCCTACCATTGTCACTATTAGTGGACAATCTGTAAATTTCTATTTAAATCTTAATTGGATCTTAGATATGTCCTGGCGTAGTCTAAGGGAGTCACCCCTAATCTAAACATTAACATACCAAAAAAAATACTTGTTATAATCATATATGATATATATATATATATATATATATATATATATATATATATATTCGTATTTTTTTAATATGATATACATATATCATGTAGAATTAAAGAATTCGATTTGAATTTAAAAATTAATTTAATAACTACAAAAAATTTTAAATTATTTGAGGTTAAATTTTTAGAACATTACGTTAAATTAAAATCTTTAAAAAAAATTAAATCAAATCCAATTTTATTGATTCCTACGAATAGTTGGAGGGGGGAATAGGGAGAGGATGGTAAAATGGGAATTTGGGGAATGAAATTGAATTGTATCGGGTAGCGTGTAGAGGGAAAGGAAGAGAGGGACGAGATACACGCAATCGGGCACGGCTTTTGTTGATGCTTCAGACAGACAGGTTCAGTCTTAAGACCCAACATCTCTTCTTTCTTTGTCTTTTCCACTTTTTTATTTTTATTTATTCTATTGTTATAAGAATTAGATTGATGTTTGGTTCAATATTTTTAAAATTAATTTTTTATTCCAAAATAAACATATCTTAATTTCAAAAATGGATGACCCAAGTGAATTCAATTCAATTGTTTTTAATATTTTATTAAAACTCGATGAATGGTAGGATGAAATGAAATCACGGGGTTAAATGGCAAATCGCGGGTGGGTCCCACTGATGATAATCCATAAGATATATTGCCGTTTTTGGTTAAATCTCTTTGCTTTCCGTCTACCAAAATCCAACGGTTGTTTTGTATTATGTTTTAAATGAGATCACGTGGCCTAGGATCTGTATAGCCCTCTCCTAATTTGGCTTTAAGATGTATACAAGTTTGAAAAAACGTCCCGTCAGCTCAATCATTTGGACAATAAAGACTTCAAAATCTTCTTCGTAGTCCCTAACTCATAATTCTTTTTAACTTATTATTGTTTTATTATTATTATTATTATTTTCCAACTAGAATTATAAAGGTATTTTTTTTCAAAAATCACCCAAACAATCAATAATTATGTATCAGACACTCTTTCTCTAAATATTACCGATCTAACACCCATTATGACAGAGTGATAATAAAGCGTGTTTCAGGATACGCGCCTTGCAAACTGGACGGAAGGCGCGGATCATAAAGCGCGCTTTCCTGGTGTTTTGTTCGAGCTGACGCCACAGTGAAAAAGAACGGATTACAAGGTTTTCTAACATGTCAGGGAGTCGCAGATCATAAAGCGCGCATTTGATTATTCTCTCAATTATTGCTCCTTCTATTATTACTGCAACTGTCTTAAATCTTGGACGACCCCTCCCCCTATAAATACCCCTCGAATCCAAATATCAAACCACACCAAAAATATATTCACATTCTTCCTTCTATAAATTCCTTATATCAAGTAGATTTTATTACTGTTTTTATAAGATAAAATTATTTTTTATTATATTATATTTATTTCATATTTAATTTATTTGACCAAATTTTATTGTACTAATTATTTTTTATTACTTTATGTAGTTGTAAAATGGAAGGCGGGATCATATCTCGATACAATTTGTTAATACGGTAACAATATTAAATTATGTTATTTAAATTATTGTGAATATTTTTTTATTTTTTAGTATTAGTTTGTATTTTAATTCGTATACTATTTATTTAATTAGGAGAATGATCGTATATTAGAAACAATTATTCATTTTTGCAGATATAAGACTTTCAATCTT